TTTTTATATATATTCAAAAAAAACAATTGTTGCATCTAGATATTGTATCTAAATGCAAACAATAGTTTAAAAAATGAATAACATCTAAATGTTGCATTTAAAAATTGCATTTAGATGTAGCATCCAGATAAAAAAACGAACAAAATCTTTTAATTATGGTATATCTTTCTTTACTGAAAAATCTTTTAATTATGGTATATATTTTGTGTAGAGCGAAATTCAAGGAGAATTTGTTAATATTTTTAGATTTAAATTCAAGGAGGTGTTATTGGTTCTTGTATTTTAATGAATTTAAAAATCCAAACCAAATTCAGTGTTATTGGTTCTTGTATTTTAAAATTTATATTGAAATACAGTGTTATTGGTTCTATGATTTTAAATCCATAATGAAATACAGTGTTATTGGTTCTATCATTTTAGAATCTAAATATTATAAGGATTTGAGTTTTAATTGAATTTGAATGGATTTAGAAGGATTTTCATGACTAAAATACAAAGACTCAAATACAAGGTCTAACTTTGGTATTTGAGTGGATTTGATTTTTTTTCATTTTGCTGATTTTGAAATCAATAAATTTATCAAATCCAAGAAAGATTTATAAATCCACCAAAATACAAGAACCAATAACCACTACTAAGATTTCATTAATAATTTGCCTTGGCCATCTAATGTAATTGGAATCTCGGATTATGTTAAGATCCACTTGTTTCTAATTGGATCAAGATAACAACGGATCAATAATATCCACATAAAAATGATTTCATAATTGTTTTTTTTCCTAGTCTTCTTCTAATATTAATTTTTTTAGATTTTGGTCTAGTTAGATCGTTAGAAGCATTAACATGATTTATACATAATATTTATATTTATTCATTAATAGCAAATATTGTAATAAACATGTTAGACAAATGTTAATTTAAAAATAGTATAGATTATCTATTTTATCATAGAGTTTCCTTTTATTAGTTTGTCACATGCTTCTTCAATATATAAGCGATAGTCTTTTTTCTAATATTTAATTGCATAATTACAACAATTTATACCTTACCACAAATAGACTATCGCTTTACTTTATTCCTTTGAGAGAAAGATCTTATCAGTTTCCAATTGAATATAGAAGTAGAGACAGAGAGAGAGTTTAAAGATAGCAAGATAGTACTACAGAGATTTTAGCTTTATAGAGTATAGCAGAACACAATAGTCGTGCTTCATCAGAAGAAGAAGAAGAGGAAGAAGTAATCACATTCTGGAATAACCAAAGTTATTTTCATACTGAGTCATGAACTCGTCATTGAACTTCTTGAAACTATCCATGATCTCCGGCATCTCTTCTTCCGCAGGCAAGATCGTCGTCCTCAGATGGAACACACTGCCAAAAGAACGAATGAGCTAATAACCAGGATAGGTATCAAAAGAGCAAGAACCGAAAAAAACAGAGTAAATTTCTTAGTTTCTTTACCCTTCTTTCTGTCCAAATCCAGAACCAGGCACTGTGGAGATTCCTGTGGCTTCTAAGAGCTTAAGACAGTAGAAAACGTCCGGCACTTTTCCGGCTTGCTTCGCCGCTTGGAGAGCTCCCGGTGGTAACCGGATTTGTGGAAACGAATACATTGCACCTAAACATTTACCACACAGGAATCAAATATCCAAATCTCAACACTAAACGGTTTTAATGCTTTGTTGTTTTTGTTTTTTACCTTCTGTGAAATTGCACACAACGTTTTTGCAGCTGTTGAATCCATCAGTCATGATCTTTGCTCTTCTTCTCAAAGATTCAAGAATCCCCTTGCTAGAGAAACGTGCAAAAAGCAGAGTTAATGATTCGATCCAGGGATGATGAAGATGAACACGAGCGTGTAAGCTTATATATATACCTCTCACGGGCGAACTGGTCATATGAAATGTCTCCAGGCTTCGGAGGACTAACCATCAAACCCATCTGCACAATTCATAACTCTCTCAGAAACATTACAGATGATTTCTACAAAAAGCAAATCCACATTACATTTTACGACTTCCCACTTACAAAGATCTGCGCAGAGACATTCGGGCTGAGTGCGATTGATGCAACCTTGTATATCTCTTCAACAACCTGCAATAACCATATTATGATTATGTTTATGTTTATGTATGTAACTTAACAAAGGTTTAAAACAGAGAGTTAAGACAAACCCTGGGAGGGATGTTGGTCATCTCAAAGTATCCACCTCTCTGTCCACATTCACCCCAATAACCTTTAGAGACAGTGTGGAAAGACACAAGCTGGACTTCCTTGCTGAACGGCGAACCCATATCCATCAAAACCTTTTGTTTTTTTTTTCAAGAATGTTCATGTTAAAAAGAATGGCTTCACAAATTTAGACATAAGTTTCAGAAACATGAAAAGCAAAGATAGAAGAAGCTGAAAACCTTCTTGGCGCTGATAAAGGGACGCTCATCTTGGTATATGTTCTGCTGATAAACCTCGTCTCCGAGAAGAACCAACTTCTCGTTGTAACAGAACCGCAATATCTCTCTCAAATTAGCTTCGCTTAGACACTGACCAGTTGGGTTCCCGGGGTTGATGATCACCATTGCCCTTACCTGTATAACCCCATTCAAGACAAAATCTGTAACTTGAGAAAGAAAGACATACAGCTTCTACGCCTAACGATAACTGCAAGAGAAGAAGGGAGAAGAAAAGAGCGCTCACTGATATCCCTTGAGAACGAGCCTGAGCAACGGATTGTCGAAGGTTATTAACATCAAGTCCCCAGTTTTCAGACTCATCAAGATAGTAAGGAACAAGAGAGCCACCTAACAGTGAAATGGTAGCTGAGTAGAGTGGATACTGTGGAACCGGAACAAGAATCTACAGAACGCAGAAAGAATAAATTATAAAATGACATGTCAGAGGTGAACCATAGCAGATACTAAGAACCTCTTTGGGACAGAGCATTACCCCGTCTCGCTCACCACGTATAACACAGTTCAAGATTTGCATCACACCTTTGCTAGCTCCATCAGTGAGAAATATGAGTTCTGGGTCACTGTGATATGAACATAAGAAACAAAAAGGTCTGAGCTGGCTTTGCTTATACAACAATATATCTCACTCTTTGCTGAAAAAACCGAAACGAAAGGAATCACCTTGGATAGCCATCACGCCGTTCAATGAACTCTGCAACCTCTTTCCTTACTCCTGGAAGGCCTCTTGAGTCACTGTAAGCACCTAACGAAACAGACCAAAAATATATTAACTTTATGATTTCCACACTACAAATCGCAGATAACCGGCTAATTCGTGAGTTTGCTAAACATAAGATGTATACCTAATCCGCCTGAAGTCAAGGAAAGGTAATGCTTAGCTCTCGCAATAGCATCAGCTGGAAATAGCATTCCAACATTTGGGTCATCGAGTAGAAACGGAGCTTGACAAAGCGCAACCACCTGCAATAGTTCTTGTGTCACTGTCTAGGCTCAAACGTAGATTAAACTCTTCACTTTTCTGAGAATTGTATATATATTACCTGGCGAGGAAAAGTGAGCGGCTTCTGTCCTAAAGCATGAGGGTTCCCAACGTTTGTGAAAATAATCTGATATGTGTAGCAGTAATCAACCCATGTTAGCCAAATATAACCCCAAACACTGACAAATCAAGCGCTAGATCATGATTGCAAATGCATATCAAGTCCAAAACAAACAAAGAACATAGTTAAGTTTGCTCAATCACAGGTCTATCTAAAAGCTAATCACAGGACACATGATAACGCTCAAAGATGTATATAATAAGACACAAGATGACACAAAAGCGTTTACCTTTTTGCCTTCTTTCTGAAGCTCAGAAGCTCGGAGATAGAGTTCACCTCTTACGGCATACTGACACTTCTTCACGTTTTCATTCAGAGCATCGTAGTCTAAAGCCATTCTATCTTCACACTTGAAGCCAATCGCTATCTCAATTCAACCTTAATCGAAACAAAAGAGTTTTGTGTGAGAATCCATGAAGTCACATCACCAATTCGAAACCAGATCAAAACTTACTGAGCTTAAAAAAACCCCTAATTTCAGAACAAATTCGTAATCGCTAAGAATCACGTAAGAGTACAGAGAAAGGCGATGACTTTTCAAATGGGTTTTCAAAATCATTGATCAATGGAGGATTTCATGATCGATCCAAGAAGAAAGAAGAACGAAATTGAAAAAATTGATAAACCACACACCTTCAAACTCAATGCTGTGACCTCTAAAGGCTCTACAGAAGAGTGACGTTCGAGACCCCAAAGCAAGAAAGAGGGTGGGGAGAACTATTAAACTCTAAAGTGAGTGACTTTAAAAAAAAATGTGTTTGTGTAGCAGATTACAATTGTGTGTCTGACATGAATTTGGATCAATCGTCAATCCAATCTTAGCAAAGGAAGCAGCAGAGCCACTGAAAAATTCGACGAAGAAGATTTATCAGACAACAAGTCAATTTGACAATATCTATCCGTGTCTCGTTTTTATGCTACGACGACCGTTCTTAGAGAAAGAAAAAAATTAAAATTAAAAACAGATAAAAACTGGAAAGAGAATAAAATGTGGCGGAGGTTCCATTCCAAATAGAGAGATTTGTAAAATTTTGTCATTTATGCACTTTGTTCTTCAGAGAAATTATTTCTTTTGGGTCAAGACCAATAGGGTAGAGCCACGTCTCCTTCATTTTTGTTTCATCCGCAGGTTTGTGTTTTCCACTGTCTTGATTGACTCATCAATACTCTCAAAGGCTCAAGACTTAAAGGCTCAAGAGTTGATTCAACACTTTAATTTTGAGAATTATTGTTGTTACATGATTGCAATGAATTTATATATTATTTCATAATGAATTTTCAGACCATTGCAATTGATCTTCTTCTTTCGAGTATCAAATTCTTTTTATTCCAAGAACAAACAAAAATATTGATAGAAAGCTATAAATAGTTAAACAATTTATAATAAAAAGACATTTTTTTCAAGGTAATGATCAGAATCAAATTTAAATTTATTATTTTGTTTGGTAAAGAATTGTATAACATAAATTTAAAAAAAAAAGAAGACAATACTCAAGGCTCAATGCATTTGAGATCCTTGATGGTGGCAAGTCTGTGGAGAAAGACGTCAAAGTCATCGTCGCGGCAAAGCATGCTGACGCGTACGTACTTCTTATCGCAGCCACATTTGTCTCCTCCTCTCGTCAAAACCTTCTTCTCCTTCAAGAGACTTGCGAGATCTCTCTCTTCTTTACACCCTAACCACGCAAACGCTGCAACACCCATTTTTCAAAGACACAACCGTTAGTTAACGACCAAGACCGTTACAAATTCAACAACACACAAAAAAGAACGATTCTTGGTTTAAAGTATACGTACCAGGAGAAGTGGAGATGGTTTTGCCAAAGAAGTTGCAAAACGCTTGAGGGTAATTAGGTAGAGTGAATGTGTCACCGGACTCGACGACCTCGCGTAGCCTCTCCCACCGTGACTTCATCTTCTCGTGACCATACTCGAAAAAGCTTTCCGATTTGGTCCGACAGGTTTTGGTGAGTTCGTTGAGAATCGTGGTAGCTCGAGTCTGTGACTCCTTCGATACACCAATGGAACTGATTGTTAGGTACTGCACCATCTTCTTAGCAACCTCTACATCCTTCACTAACGCCCACCTTCACCCCCAAAATTTGAGCAACCGTCAATAATTATGCATATAAGTTTAACGAGCTAACTATCATCTATGTTTAAGTGGTTAGTTTCTAAGCATATCCGTTTGGGGTATAAAATTTTGATAAGTAGCGGTTATATCTAAAATTAGTATACGAACTTATATCTACGTGGATTAGTTTGACTCACCCGATGCGAGATCCAGCGTGACCGGAGATCTTGGAGAAGGTGAAGAGCATAAGGTCGTGGTCATGACGGCGAGTGATGGGAGTGTAGTGTGGCCAGTAATACGCCAAGTCGTGTATCACTTTCCCGCCCTCCGTACCGTTCACCACCGGCTCTCTGATGGTCCCATCAGGGTTGTTCGGCGACGTCACCATCTCGATGTACGGTCCCTTTTTGTGGAACGTCCTTGCGTCTCCTTCCCATTCGTACAGCTTCGATTGAACATACGATGCCTCTTCGACGTATGTCTGTAACAAAACGTATATACAACAATTTTGAAACGACACTTGTATTTTATAATATTCATATGACAATCTTAACCAAATGACCACTGAAAAATATACTATCATTAATCAAATACATTTTGCGACGAATAAACTTTTGAAAATTACTTAAAGACGAGAGGGAGAATGATTGAATTAGATTCTTGACATAAAATGAGAAATGGAATGGTCCATTTGAAACCACAAAAGTTCTTAAAGATGTAAAATGAAATTGTTAACATAAATTAAAAACAAAAAATAGTAATGCAGAGATAAAATTATAAGGGAGATATAGAGGAGAACATGTTCAGTTAGTGAGGGCTTACGGAGTAATAAGGAACGGCGGCGACGACGCTGACAGGTTTGACCTCAGAGACCGACGAAAGTGCAAACAAAGCGGCCTGACAAAGCTGCGACGAGCCAGTCCCCACCACGATGTAGCGTTCCTCAGTGGCCGCGTTACCTATCGCACCATGCAACGCCTTGATCGCCTTCGCTAGCTCTGGCTCTAGGAACCAACACACGTTTGTCGTATCGCTGAAGTAACTCATCAGATCCCATCCTCGTATCACCACCGTACACCTGTCCTTAATCTTCATCCAATACTCTTGGAACGCCGTCGGGTCTCCTCTGCAAAATATAAACACGAATTGAAACAATCAATTTTCAATTTTTTTTCTTCATTTAAATCATCTGATGAATCATCTCATGATTGTTTGTTTGCAATTTGCATATGGTCAAAACGTTTGTTTTTGACGTTTACATGTCCTAATAAATATTACATTTCAAATACAGCATTTCAGCCAAAACTTACTTGTCGATCATAACATCTCTATTCAATTATATATGGCATTAATTTTATTTGATTAATGATTTTAAATTATGCTTTAAGATCCAGTATTATGGAATCTTTTATTTTGTCTAGGAGATTTTAAAGTATAGTGCTATTTAATGAAGATTTCAAATACTTTATATAAAATCCAGTATTATTCATAAGTAAAAAACAAAATCCTTTTTTTTTGTATTTAGAATCATTGAAATGAATACCAATGAAATTTCCTTAATATGTTAGAAAAAAAAAACTATAGAATACTGTAGAAATGTTAGGATCCAAACATATGAATTCTTATATTACAAAATCAACTTTCAAATCTTGAATTAACTTTAAATCCATGATTGATTAATAGTCATTCAAACAAGTGAGTTTAAAAATGAAAAGTCATGTATGTTTCGTTGGTTAAAATTAAAACGAAATTAAACAAGTAAAATTAACTCATACTGATCGAGATTGATGACTGCATCTGATAAACTCCCGTTCTTGTACGTATCACTATCGGAATTCTTCGAGTTTCCAAACCCAACCATCTTCAGTTCGTGTCCTTGTTCACTCTGTCGCTGCTAATGTAACAATGTGTGTGTGTGTGTGAATACTAATGATTAGACAATCGCATGGAGTCTATAGTTTTATAAGGAGATGGAGAAGCGTAAGAACAACGGGATAGATTTTTGTCCTAACAACAAAATTAACAATTAGAAACGCAAAAGGTAAAAATATGTGCTGTATCTGGCTTATAGAAACACATGCTTCAACTTTGTGGTCAATGTTTTCTTATTCAACACCTTTGGGTCAATCTGGATCTCATAATTATGTTCATTCTTTTGGCTACGCCACATGTCTTAATTACCAAACCTATCTATTATATAGTTGTGTACATAAACCAATTAATAATAGGCAGGGGGGAAATGGGTAAAGAATTTATTATCTAAATACTTAATTTTATTAAATTACTATTTAATGTTTTTAAGATAACTAATACATGTCACATAAAGATAAAAACACAGCTTTTACTCCACCTATGATGGCACGTGTTTTGTTATTTTGACTTGCATAGTTGCATTTATACCCTTTTTATTTGCTCATATTGTCAATTTGGAATAGTAAGTTAAGTATATTTTGTGGTTAATTTTATTTAAGATATAGAAAGTATGTAAATTAGTCTTGCAATTTTTTGAGAATACAAACTTCGTAATTTTATCCAGTGTATCGACGACTATCGAGTATCCGTAATTGGGTCATATAATAGAGCGAAGCAAACAAAATTAAGGTCAAGAAACGAATTATCAAATAAGCCCATTGTTGACGGGCCCAACTTCATTTAGGGTTTAGTCTTCAATGTTTTACATGTACTGTATATAGTCTCTCTACGTTAAGGCGCAAAGAATCAGAGAAGAAGAAAAAACCTTAGTTGCCAACTAAAACAATGAAGATGATCTCCGAACTTCCAGAGAATTTGGTGAGGGAGATTGTCTCTAGGGTTCCGTTGATATGTATGAAAGCAGTGCGATTAACTTGCAAAAAGTGGGACACTTTATCTAAAAGTCGGATCTTTTCAAAGATGCACATTGCTAGAACAATGGCAGTAAGGGAAGGCGAGACTATGATGATCGCGCTGATGGATTACAATCTTTATCTAATGAGCGTCTTCCTCGCCGTCAATCCATATATGGAAAGTAACGGTAAACTTACTTGCCTTAACGGACAAGTCAAGATATCTCAAGTTTTTCACTGCGAGGGTTTGTTGTTGTGCGTCTTGAAAGAAGACGACTCTAAGGTTGTGGTTTGGAATCCGTATACTGCGCAAACAAGGTGTATCGAATTAAGATATTCCCACCGCCCAAACGGATGGGACAGGTTCAGTTACGCTCTTGGATACGAGGACAAGAACTCTTGTCGTAGCTACAAATTCTTGAGGTTTATAGATAAATATTACCATGGAGCCGAGAAACAGTTTTTCTGGTATGAAATCTACGATTTCGATTCTGGTTTATGGACGACTCTTGATTTCACTCCACACTGGCGTATAATGTTTTGTCAACGTGGCGTGCCTCTCAAGGGAAACACTTACTGGCCTGCTTCACAAAGGAACACACGGGACGAGCTTGACGATCGCATGATCTGTTTTGATTTCACAAGTGAGAAGTTTGGGCCGCTTCTGCATATGCCGTTTAACGCTGGGAATGATGACTATGTGACTTTATCATGCGTTAGAGAAGAGAAGCTTGCGGTTCTACTTACACACAACGAAGCAGGTCCAGAGGAGTTTGAGGTATGGGTTAGTACCAAGATTGAGGCCGAGAATGTGTCTTGGAGCAAGTTCTTGAGAAGGGAGAATGGACCTTATGACTCTCTGATTACAGGTGACAGTTTCCTTATTGATGAGGAGAAGAAAGTCGTCATGGGTTTCGAAGAAGACGATCGCAAAACATTTAGCATCATTGGAGAGGCTGGAGGATACTTTAGAGAGATTAATCTCGGAAAGCGTCAAGACATACACTCTAGGGCACGTGTGTGCTCTTATGTTCCAAGCTTAGCGCAAATCAGGCAACCTGCTGCAGGAGGCAAAAGGAAACAGCAAAGCGACGTTGAAAAACATCAATATGATCAAAACATATCTAAAATTATCGATTTTCAAAAGCGCTTCAAGTACTGGTAATCTACAGGAGGTTAAGGCAAAAAGGAGCAAAAACGAGATGATTAGTATCCCCAGTTTACAAACCCTAATTTTTGTTTTTCATTTACTCTTCTTCACGTTGAACAAGATTACTTTTGTGTCTCTTCTGATGCAGTCATGCAGAGTGTCTTTTCTTAATATGTCGTAGGTTCAAATTCAATAATCGTTTCTTGATAGGTTACGTTTTGGTGTTTTCCAATGGCGATATATATTTGTCCATCTCTTGGCTGCTGAGGGATGACTTTTATTGATTATTAATAAAGAGATTTTCACTCTTAAATACTTTTTTAGAGTTTACTTTTTATTCCAAAATATATGATGTTTTCTAATTTTTATGTAAAAAATAATTGTGTTTTTGTTGTTTTGACTGTTTGAATTCTAAATTCTATTTTTTTATTGGTTCAACTGTTTTGAAATTGATAAAAAAAAGATTTTTGAAAAAACAAAAAATTAAATGATTTGTGTGCACATCTTTAAAACATCTTATAATGAAGGATTAAATTATAGGTATTCGAAGACTAAACGAGACCTTTGCGTTATCTTAGTATTAGAAAGAAAAAGAAAAAAAAAACAGTATGTTAGCCTTTGTATATACAACAAAAATTACGTTTCAATCATCGAGACTAGCTTTCCTTAGTTTCCGTTGTGTAATTCAAATGATTTTTGATGAAATCAAAAATAATGACTGTCAGGTTCTTCTATTTAAAGCTTAGACATTCAAGCAAGTGAGTATGAAAAATAAGAAATGGTCATGTATATTTGTTGGTTAAAATTAAAATGAAATTGACCAAGTTTGTTAAAATTAACCCATACTGATCGAGATTGATGACTGCATCTGATAAGCACCCGTTCTTGTTCGAACCACGTGTCGGAATTCTTCGAGTTTGCAAACCCAACCATCTTCAGTTCTTGTCTTTGTTCACTCTAGATCTGTTGCTGCATGCATGCTAATGTACAATGTGTGTGAGAATATTAATGATTAGAAAATCGTATGGACTCCATAGTTTTAAACGGAGATGGAGAAATCATGGGCCGTAAGAAAAACGAGATGGAGATTTACTATTCGTCTTAACAACAAACATAACAATTAACAAACGAAAAAGGTAAAAGATGTGTGTGCTACCTGTCAGCTTGAAAAAGATGCTATAATTGTTGTGGTCAATGTTTTTGAATTTAAAATACTTATCAAAATTCTATGTTATTGGTTTTGTGATTTAAAAATCTTAATTAAAATTTCATGTTATTGGCTATTCAACGGAACCTCAACCAATCTACGGTTAGAACATTACATACAAGCTATTCAGAGTTGGAGAAGCATGTTCGACCAAGTCACTTTCTCATTCCGGAAACGGGAGGCAGACCAATGAGCGGATTTATTAGCTAGGAAAGCCACAATGTCTACAGTATATATGATGTTTTAAAACAAAACTAGATGTTGGACCTGCGCGTCCGCGCAGATATATGATTCTTAAAGTAAATTTATAAATATTTAAATTTTGTAGTATAAGGAGATTTATATATTATGTTATAAGATACACTGTTTTCTGGTACATATGTATCATAGCTTTATTTCAAGAGAATGAATATTCCGTTTGTATAAAATATTTTTGGATCATAGCAAAAATAGGTTTATAGTAAATTTTTGTTCAAAAAAAATTAGTTTATATAATTAAATCTAAAATTGTGGTCCAAATGAATTTTTTTTATTAGATTATATAAACTATTTTAACATTATGGTTTTATGTTCTTAAAATTATTCAGGCTTGATTTTATAAAAAAGAAATATTTTGATTAGCGAATTTTTTGGTAAATTTTGTAACAAATATTTTAAAATATTATGTTATAATGTAAGAGAGATTTTATTTGTTTGTAATTAAGATTCTTAGGTTTGTTTGTTTTTGCCTCTAGATACTTATTTGAATGCAAATGCTCTCAAATATTGTTTTTTTAAATATTTTTAAATCAGTATATGGATATTTTATCTAAATACAAATTCGATAATATATCAAAATTTGGATATTTAAAATGCTAAAAAATAGAGAATTGATGCAGCATTTGAATCTCAAAAATTAACAGATAAAAACATCTTTTAATTTAAACCACAAAATCAAGTTTTTTTTTTGTCAAAACTATTTTTTTCTATAGAAATAAAAAAACTACAAAATCGTAAAATCACGTTGTTGTACCAAAATCGAAAATTCTGGTAGAAACTATAAAAATAGCATTTTTCATCAAACCGTATTTTTCTGCCAAAACTGTAAAGCCACATTTTTTAACAAAATCAAAAATTATGTTTTCCTCCAACACTATAAAATCGTATTCTATGGCTAAATTTCTAAGATTGAGTAGTTTTTGTCAAACCTGCAAAATTGCATTTTATCGTCAAACCCGCAAATCTGTATTTTTAATAAAATTCATAATACCACATTTTTTCACCAAAACCTATAAAACCCGTAAAAATATGTAAACCTCGTAAAATCCGTAAAATCAGGTTTCCCGTCAAATCTACAAAACCCGTATTTTTCTGTAATATTGTAAAATTCACAAAATTGTGTTTTACGTCCAAATTTCTAAATTCATGTCAAACTCACAAACCCGTATTTTTCTGTATGACTATATTTTCTCGCTAAAACCTGTAAAATCTATAAAATTTGCAAAATTGCGTTATTCGCATTTCGTAAGCCTGTGTTTCCCGTAAATCCCGTAAAATCTGCAAAATCGTTATTTACGACCAAATTTCAAAAATTACCAAAATCTAGATTTTGGACCCGCGCACTTGCACGGGAGTCCTCACATAAATACTTCAAATAGCTTGACATTCTCTAGTTTGTAATGCCTAATGAGACAATGTTGAAAAGAAGATGCAGTTTTGAACATAAGTTTATAATTCTTCTATGTATCCATATTCTTCTTCATCACTTCTTCTCCTTATTATCCTTCGTCTTTAAAATTAATTTAACATATAAGAAATTAATTTCAACTAAAAAATATTGATTTTTGCAAAAATATTTTTGTTCTTGAAAATCTAAATAGGGGAAAAAAATAGCCAAACAAATTAGAGAAAATGAGATAATGTGAGTTATTATTTTTATTTCTCTTATAGTTTATTGAAACACTATTATCATAAATAGTTTAATTTTGCTAATTGTAAATTATAAAATCATTTATTAATTTACTAACTTTTCTTATTATTAATATGTTATTACATCTACAATAAAAAAATTATCAATATTGTTTGTAATATTTTTGAAAATATGCTAAAATCCATATTTTTAGAATATGCTTTAAGTTTATGCAGTTACTGTTTCTTAATTAAAAAATATTTTGATTTTTATTTGGAAAGCTTGCTCCATAATTTTAGTAATCGAATATTAATAAAATATTATAAAATCAATTCATTAGATATTTTATAGAACTAAATATAATTTAAATAAAACTATATGATTATTATCATATACTGTTAATTAATCATGGTTTTTTTAAATTTGATCATGATGCTTTTAAATTTGAAATTAATTTAATCAAAATATAATTTAATATTAGATTGAACTAAACATATAACAAATAATATATAATTATTCATAAAAATTAGGTTTTAGTTTATTTTCCTATAAACATATGTGTTTGATTATATTATTGCATAATAATAAGAATTTGATTTTTGTTTTTCAAATAATTGTTTTTGCGATTTTCTTTTATATTGTGTAAATGTATATAATTTAATTATATTAATTATAATTTTTATTTTCTTATATTGTTACATAATAATAAATATGTGAAAAAATATTATTTGTTATTTTTTCGCAAAATGTTTAAAATTGTATAAATGTTTATAATTTAATCTTATACATATATAGTAATTATAATTATAATTTTGTTTTATATAAACTTGGATGTAATTAATTCTAAGATTAATTAGAATTTTCGAAATAACTATTTATGGAAATATTTAAATTATTTAAATGTGTTTGGTAATTAGAGTTAAACTAATCCAAATAATATTTGAAATAAAAAATAATATATAATTATTCATAAAAATAATTATTCATAAAAATTAGGTTTTAGTTTATTTTTCTATAAACATATGTGTTTGGTTATATTATAGCATAATAATAAGAATTTGATTTTTGTTTTTCAAATATTTTTTTTGCAATTTTTCTTTTATATTGTGTAAATGTATATAATTTAATTATATTAATTATAATTTTTATTTTCTTATATTGTTACATAATAATAAATATTTGAAAAAATATTTTTTGTTATTTTTTCGCAAAATGTTTTAAATTGTATAGATGTTTATAATTTAATCTTATACATATATAGTAATTATAATTATAATTTTGTTTTTATATAAACTTGGATGTAATTAATTGTAAGATTAATTAGAATTTTCGAAATTACTATTTATGGAAATATTTAAATTATTTAAATGTGTTTGGTAATTAAAGTTAAACTAATCTAAATAATATTTGAAAACTAATGTGTTTGGTAATAGGAATATAAGAATTAAATAAAGAAAAAAATAAAATGAATATTAATTGGTTGTATTAACAAATGACTAAACTACCATTAATAAAATTCTAAGGAAAAAGTTAAAATGCAATGGCATTTCATGTAATATAACATATGAAATATGTTTAAACATTGAAATGATTCTCTTTTAATAGTATAGATGTTTCATGTTACATCTCTTTAATGAGATCTGTTTCTCTACTTCTGAAACTCAAAAAAAAAATCTTTTTTAAAAGAAAATTGGTAATGAACTTGTAAAAAAGAAGTGGTAATGAACTTGTAAAAAAAGAAGTGGTAATGAACTTATAAAAAAAATCCATTTAAAAAAGAACTAGTAAAAGAATTTGGACACGATCTAATAAATTAATATGATTAATTTTTTTTAAAGATAATCGAACAACTCCGCACAAGATGCGAGAAATACTTAGTTTTATAATAATATAACTAGAATTATATATATATATATATATATATATATATTTTTTATACATATAGATAATTAAAAAAATGATAATTTATAGTTTGGTTCGATTTCTTCTTGGTATGTTTTCAGGATTCAAGAATAGTGAAAAGCTAACGGTTTTTATCAATAAATTTTGGTTTGAATTCCGTTTCCACCCAAATTCAAAACCCCGTTATTATTGAGCGAAGCAAAACAAAATTAGAGCTCGGAAACAAATTGGTTTATTTAGGGTTTCCGAGTCTTCTTAAATTGTCACAAATAGTATATACATAGCGTCCCTACTTTGAGGCGTAAGGAATTCGAGGAGAAAGAACAAAAAACCCTAGTTGCCAACTGAAACAATGACGATGATCTCCGATCTTCCGGAGAATTTGGCAAGGGAGATTGTCTCTAGGGTTCCGTTGAATTGTATGAGAGCAGTGCGATTAACTTGCAAAAAGTGGGGCACTTTATTCAAAAGTCGGATCTTTTCACAGATGCACATTGGTAAATCAATGGCAGTTAAGGAAGGTGAAACTATAATGACCGCTATGATGGATTACAATCTTTATTTAATGAGCGTCTTCCTCGCCGTCAATCCATATATGGAAAGTAACGGTAAACTTACTTGCCTTAACGGACAAGTCAAGATATCTCAAGTTTTTCACTGCGAGGGTTTGTTGTTGTGCGTCTTGAAAGAAGACGACTCTAAGGTTGTGGTTTGGAATCCGTATACTGCGCAAACAAGGTGTATCAAAGTAAGATATTCCCACCGCCCAATCGGATGGGACAGGTTCAGATACGCTCTTGGATACGAGGACAAGAACTCTTGTCGTACGTAGCTACAAATTCTTGAGGTTTATAGATCATAAGCATTACCATGGACCCGAGAAAGAGTTTTTCTGGTACGAGATCTACGATGGTTTATGGACGACTCTTGTGTCACCCCACACTGGTCTATACGTTCCGAAGACCATGGCGTGTCTCTCAAGGGAAACACTTACTGGTTTTCACAAAGGAACACATGGGACGAGCTTAACCATCACATGATCTGTTTTAATTTCACAAGTGAAAAGTTTGGGCCGCTTCTGCGTATGCCGTTTAACGCTGAGGGTGAATACTAGCTATGTGAGTCTATCATGCGTTAGAGAAGAGAAGCTTGCGGTTTTACTTACACACGCCGAAGCAGGTCCAGTGGAGTTTGAGATATGGATTAGTACCAAGATTGAGGCCGAGAATGTGTCTTGGAGCAAGTTCTTGAGAAGGAAGTTTGGACCTTGTGTCTCTGTGATTATAGGTCACGGTTTCTTCATCGACGAGGAGAAGAAAGTCTTCATGGGTTTTGACGAAGAGGATCGCGAAACGGTTTTTTAGCATCATTGGAGAGGCTGGAGGATACTTTAGAGAGATGTATGTCGGAGAACGTCAAGACATGCGCTGTACGGCACATGCCTGCTCTTATGTTCCAAGCTTAGCGCAAATCAAGCGTTCGGCTTCAGGAGGCAATAGGAAACAACAACAAAGCTACTTAGAAAAGCAGCGATACGATCAAAAAATGTCTAGAATTGTCGATTTCCAAAATCGCTTCAATTACTGATAATCAGTTTTACAAAGCCTAACTTTTATCTTAAGATGTCGTGTTTTGGTGTTGCTGTTTCCTTTTCTGTATATTGACGAAATAAATAACAATGAAATTTGTTTCTCCGGTGGAAAATAATATTATGATCATGAATCGTGATGATTGATGAAACAGCTTCTTCCTCCGTTAGGCTTCTTACAAACGAAACAGAGCTTTTTTAAAAAAGATATATCAATTGTCTATTACAAGCTATACGCAGTTGTTGATGATCACATTTCCGCCTCTCTAGTCTCATTGGTCTCTCTCTCCTGTTGAGCTTCGTTCGGCAATGTCTGAGGGCTCTGCCTGAATACATGTTTCCTGCACCGCTCAAAGATACTGTCGTAGATCAAATCAAACTCCACACCTGCTCGCTCTCTGTTCACAATGAACATGATGTGATCCCCCTCCACGATCTTGTAGTACCTGCAGACACATTCCAAGAAACCCCGGTAAGACTCTTCTTTGTCTTCATTGAATTTCCAAGAGAGACTATAGCAATAAGAAGACTAACCAGATGCCTGGTTGAAGCGGGAGACAATCTGAGTCACTACGAACAATGAGATTACAATGTTCAACGGGAAGTCGTGGGTGAGTCATGGAGATAGTGTTCAATGCTCCATCATTGTCCTGCCAATCTTCATCTCTGCAAATACTCTGGTTTAAACAGAGACTTGTATAGTGTAGCTTTTAAGTCCAAACCAACTCTTACCTGTAACCCTTATAAGGCAGAGGGACCTCACGAGGGAAACGCCACTGGCTCATCTGCAACACGCGGATGAAGAGCAGAGGATGTATCCCCGTCACACCCGAAGGAACAGTCATCATCCCGAGAGGCTTTGTAGTACGCTTAGTCGCGTAGCTGAAGTAGAACGTGTTCGGGAAAGTCTTGAGACGAGCGTTGAGCTTCATCGAGCCTTGGATCGATAGGTCAGGCAAGATCCAATCTGCAGACGATGCAAAAGGGCCTGCGTTTCCGACAAGACAGTCGACTAGGCCGCGTAGACCCGTCTTCCTCCACGAGATGTTGAAATGGTCAAACCCAAAGTTGTAATAGGATTTGAGCCAAGCAATGTCGAGCCAGTCGTACATTATGACTCCAAGTTTACAAACCTGAAGGAGAGATATGGGTTTCAGAGACTTCCCGTCCTCTGGCCTAACAAGAGTAGTATCAGATTTTTGGATTACAATTTCGGAGAATGTAGCTGAGAGGTCACAAGAGTGTGTAGAGCAAAAACTCACTGTATTCCATCGAGGTAAGTTCGAGTAGTCCCGTTTAATGCTCCTGACAAGGATGTTAAACTCAAAACCCAGTTCTCGTTCGTGTCCTCGTAACCATCAAACATCTGAGAACAAACCAAAACACAACCAAATCAATTTCCACAATCGATCGATCTGATTCAGTGATTTGGTTATCTCTTGAAGCAATTTACCTTGTCAGCGAGCATTTGCTGCATCACACGAACAACTTGAGCACCAGCAGAGTGACCAACAAAGTGAATAGGATGATCTTCATCCCACTCTGGGTACTCCCCTGAAAGTACATCAAAAGATTCATCAGCAAAAGAGTGTGAATCTACGGCTAACTCAAAAACCAAACAATCCAAAACACACATTAAAGACTCAACCTTTTTCATAAAAACGACCAAACTGAGAGTGACCACAAGCTTTGCTATGATCTTCTCCATAATCCACTCGTCCACCTTTCAAGTAATAAAACAATTCTCTAGCCCTGCAATGAAAAAAAGACAACCTTTATCAGTAATTCACTCTGAGACTACATATCGTAACAAATTTACCAAAAGATTGAGACTTTCTGTTTCACCTATCGTGTACACTCGTCAAGGATCCCAAATCAGGCACCAAAACTCTCTCGTCCTTCTTCTCTGCCCCAGCAAAGTATGATAAACCACCTAATCTCTGCAATGACAAGACCCAATTAATGGAAAAACAAAAAAAAAAAAACCTTTTAACAATGTATATAATAGAGAAAGAAATGAAAAAAAAAAAGAATACTTACTCCTTTGCCAAATCCGAAAATTCCATGGACTAAAACAATGGGAGGCAGATCATTGACGTCTGTAGTCTCTGCTTGGTCAATTCGTTTGACTTCAACGGTGGGTTTGGGCTTTAGGATTGATTCGCTCAACGTCTGAGTGAGATCTCCGGCGACGGCGGAGCTGAAGATGTAAAACCCGTAGAGCATATGAACAACGGAGCTCACTGATAGCTCTGCTAACTGAAGAGCTGATAAAACAAACCATGCAATCATCCTCCTTAAAAATTCGATACTTTTTGCTTCTCTCTTACAATACCCAGAAGAAAATGAAAATCAAAAATCCCAACTTCTTTAAAACCCAGTAATAAAAATCTGTTCTTTTTGCTAAAATTAGAAATAACAGAGGTGAATTCCGATTCTGGGTACTTTGGGTTACCCAGAAAAATTCTTCTCTTTTTCAAATACTGTGAAAAGGAAAAGAGAAATGAGTCAAGAGAAGACGTTTTCTGTCAACATTGAATCGATATGTAAAAAAAAAAAAACCCCCATAAGCAATAACTATTGTTTGGTTTGAAAACGATTCTTTCTACTTCTTCGTTTGCTTCTAGAAGTCTGTAAAAAATAAAGGATTTTGCCCTTCACCACACACAACTTTCTCGTTCGTGTTTGTTTTTCCCCTCACGCATGAACGAACAAGCTCTGCGTTTTCTCTCTGCCTAACAGCCAATGAAAAACTCACACGTCATTCTTCTTCTTTTTTTCCCAGTCTATTTAACTTTTTTTTTTATATTTTGGAAGGAAAATTAAATTTCGCTCTTTCGAAAGACGCGTCTGGAGAAAGAGAAAAGCTCCAAAGAAAGAGAAGAAACTGGTGTTTCGCTATTGATGCCTTCTTCTGTATGGACGCCACGTGTTTTATCTTTGGAAATAAAGTGGGTCCCACTGAGATATGGTTCAGAACAATACTGTATTAACCACTATTTTAAAACATTTTTATAATGAAATAAACGAGTGGTTGGTAATAGTAGGAGAAATTGATGAACTGTCCGGAGAATTCTTCATGTTAGGGATGGATGCGGATCGGATATCCAAGAATTTTTTAGTATTTGTCGTAACGAATATTTAATTTTATGATTTGATTTGCTTCGGAAATATATAGATATCCGGATTTTCGAATATCCAGAAAATTTACAAGTATTTACGGATATTTATGAATATTTACGGATATTTACGGATATTTATAAATATTTACGTTGATCCGTTTAATATACACAAAACTGAAAGTATATCAATTTTTATTATAAAAAAATATTTTTCATCTAAACTATTAAGTAAAAATAACTAAAAGAAAATATTTTATTTTATAAAAAAATCTATAAAAAATAAACCTACAAAATTAAGATAGGAAAAAATGATATTTTATATTTAAAAATAATATTAGCTATTTGAAACTTTAATATTAAACTTTACTAAAAAACTTTTGTTGACATTTATTTACTAATATAAAATAAAATATTATTTATTAACATATTTTAAGTTTAAACATATTATTTATTTTTTATAATTGATTATTTAGTCATTTATTTTATATAATCAAAAGAACAATTGAAAATTTAGGAAGAAAATTGAGAATATATTAATAAAAATTTATAATATAATTGATATATACATGATAATATATAATAAATTTATAAAGATACGGATCGGATTGGATATCCGGCGTTATCTAAAAATATATTTGTGATTTGCTCCGTTTTGTACGGATATTTTATTTTGTTATTGGCTTTACTCCGAAGTTTTATGAATATCCGGATTTTTCGAATCGGAACGAAGCAAATATCGGTTCGAAACGGATATAACGGATATTTTGCCCATCCCTGCTTTATGTGTCGTGAAATTTTTGGTGGGACGACTACATATTAAATCAAATTGTCATCACGTCGTACACACGTCCTCTATTTTGATAGATTGTTCCGAGACTTTTAGTAGTACTGTTCCAATTTATGGTCTGAAACAAAACAATAGGAGGCAAATATTGACTTTTGTTGTATTTTTTACTTGGTCTATTCGTCTGACTTCAGTTTGTGGTTTTGGGTTTGAAAACATAATTCTCTCAGAACCTGTGAAATCTCTCTCCAGAGACGACGGAGCTGAATATATACAACAGAGCTCACAGATAGCTCTGCTTTATTGAAGAGCTGATATGATCAACCATGGAATCATCCTCCTTAACAACAATCTGAACAATTCTATACTACTGTTTATAAACATTTTTAAAATTAAATTAAATAACGTTTGGTTAGTTCATATTTCGTGAAATTTGGCAAAAGTTTTTCGGTGGACCACAAAATTGACACGTTGAGGACTTCAGGCTTGTATTTTATTGGGAAAAGAATATGGAAATAAAAAAATGAAGATATTGTGTGATAACAATTCTCAATCGGTTACACAGATTTGCACCCCAAAAAATAGTATATGGTAGGTAGCCTCGAATCCTTGATTTCACAGGTTAGCTAGAATATATTCTCGTTAATTTGAATTTTAAAAGGAGTCCGTTTGAGTTTATAAAAATTATAGTCAATTTAATAAAGATTCTTGTGTTGGATATGGATTATTTGAGTATCGTTATAATTTCAATTGATAACATGTAAACATGTTTGTTTTATTTATTTTCATATCTCTATATTCAAAGTAGTCGTCAATTTCACCGTGTGCCAAAAGAACTTGGCCTAGAAACTTCTTGATATATATGTGTAGATGGTTTTGAGTAGGTGTAATTTACCGGCTAAAATGGACTTGTCTTCATCTTCATTTAGACAAGTTTTACAAATAAAAAGCTAGTAGAACAAAATATGAATCTTGGGGATCTGATCTGTGGCAATCCAAGTGTGTAACGGTGCAAAAAGTCAAACAAGCCCATATCGTCATTTATTATGATCAGTTCAGGCATGGGCCGCATGCGCGTGGTCGATCTTTAAAGCTGAAAGGGATAAATGGTTTGAACTTTGTTTTGGGGATCTGTGTATTCATCAGGTACCTTCTTTGTAAAACACCTACGTGGTCCGTGCAAGGTTGATGCACCGTACCAGAACCGGACGTGGTACATCTTTGGTCGTCAAGAAACTCTTCCATTTAACATCTTATTTCATATTATTCATTTTACAGAAACATATGTTTAATAAACTGATCAAACGAGATGAGTTGTCGTTATAGAGAACCAGTAACATAACTATGAAAAAGAACAGAAAAAAATGCTAGATAACACTAAAAATATTATTGATGTGAAGAAGAACACAATGTTAAATAGTAAATAGAAAATAAAACTCAAACATGAAAAAAAGAAAAAAAGAAACAGCAACAGCAACACCAAACATAGTTTATAAGTTGAAAAGCATAATACCTGGATTTTCACAATATAGAGATCAAACTCTGGAAATAACAGAGAGTATATCCACTTGCTTTAGCATTGAAAACTAAATCATATGATCCGGCTCGAGGATCGTGTATCACCAGTTGAATCCCACGTTCAAGGTTATTTAGCAGTAATTTATTCTTCCCCAAAACTGCTAGTGGCGTGAGTGCAAACATGTGTAACCGAAACCATTCAAAAGTTCTAACCAGATCTATCGAATATATCACCTGCCACGTCTCCTCCTCTGCATTGAAGGACCATATCTTTTGCTCAGGCCAGTCCATCAAGGATACGCACAAACAGTTATTAAGGGTGCACATGTTGATCTCTGTAGGAGAGTCGGGGACAACAAAGGGAGCTTTACAGATGACTTGAAAAGTTTCGGTGTGAAGATCCAAAGACAAAACATTTGTTTCGCCCTCGTACGGGTCGGTGAACCAATGAAGAGAGCCATCAAAATATATAGGATCATGGAAAGCAAGAACCCGACAAGGAGACGCAGGGATAACCTTCCTCCACGCGTTGGTGCTGAAATCAAAGACTTCACATGTCGTGGCCTCGTCTAGCCCTAATTCCAATGAGTTGTACAACCAAACCGGCTTGTATATGCTCCTGAGCTTGTCTTTACCGAACCCAAGACCTGGGAATGTGTGTCCAAGATCTCTGTCTCTTTTACGAATTTCGTTACTGATGAGCTGATAGTTAGAGAGAGGAATAGCTCGATGCCATCTAGTGGTGGGATTAACCACAATACCTGAATTGTAAATACCGTAGAGGCATATCAGACCGTCACAACTACTTCTGCAAACTTGGTACAATGTGTTCTCCCAAGGAGTTTGGATCTTGACCGAAACTGATGACCCCACCACCAACGTTCTTAGAGCTTCTACGTTGGTCAGATCGCGAGCAGAAGCATCAACCATTGACACTAAAAGGACATCTAGATCCTGTGTTTGCCGACGGATCATCTGTCTCTCTTGGAAACTCCTGGATTCTATTGTACATCTCCACTGTTTCGATACACACTTGAATCTAAGGAGAGATTTCGCCGGAACTCTCTCCAGAATTTGCTCAAAGACATCCTCGGGTAGGAACAACATACTTACTAAAGGATGATCTCACTGATTCAAAAAGACGATATGATTACTGTATATATATATATATATATATATTGAGCATCCGAGTCCACACCTAGGAGGAATCGGACACTTATCAAAATAGAAAAAGTAAGGAAACCAAAGATAGAAGAAAAAGGAAAATTTGCGACATAGTCGCATCGCATTTTAACTACTTATTTTACAGACTCGAAATAGGGTGAAATTTACGTGCGGGCTAAGCCAACCCGTTCTGTTATGGGCCGCGTATAGGTTTAAATTTCAGATCCATCAAAAAACGAACCTCTTGGATCGGTCTATAGAGGATTGTGGCCTTTATACATTAGTTCTCTTTCTTTTCATGATTTAAAGTGAAATTATGTCACAAAATAATATATTTATAAAATCAGACATAAATATAAAAGCATAGCTGTGTTCTCATGTTATATATGCTGTGTTTCTAAGTGTGATATATATATATACCCCATTAAAAATTATCATCTTCTTTTCCCTATACATTAAACAGAATCTCCAAAACATTAAAATCGACCCATTATTGGAAGCAAAAACAAACCTTCGACGATTTAGAGTCTCAAGATTTATTAGGTTGAACCATCCGTTCGTATGAGATAAGACGCCAACTTCTCCTTTTAGAGATAAACCGCATAACCATATATGTAACATTACACATTCATCATTTGCACATTTGTTAACATAAACCAATCGGTACATTTCTTCTCTTACAAACCAAAGAACAAAATCTCCGAATCTTTGTCCTATAAGCCATTCAATCTCCCAAAAAATTTCAACTACGTATTCAAAAACACTATATACTTTTGTTTTTACTTTATGGACATTTAGAGTTTTTACCCGGTCCTCCATAATAAAAATAGTTACCCCAAACCCGGTTTACTCCTCCTCGTATGTCATAACAATTCGGATGATCCGCAAGAAGTCTAAGATTAGATATCGGAACAAGAGTATTATCCCAATCAACCATCTGAAGATTCCTGAAATAAGATGCTTTTCCAAAACCTTCACCGGCAAAATGGCCACTGCCCATTTCGGTCGAAGTATGTGAACCACTAGGCCTTGTGTTCACGATCTCTCCACCGAACTGTACCATGTTCCCATGCTCCCTCAGGTGTGTGAACAGAGATACGGGCCAATACCCGACTAGTGTACCCGACCCGAATTGGAGCCACCAGTGTCCGTGCTTTGGGTCCTACACATGGGTGTTTCGAAGAAGACGTATTATTGGAATAGTTCTATATTATCAGATATGAAATTAATAAATACACATGAAAAGGTTGACCTTGCTTAATGGATAAACCATTAACCATGTGCATGGATTCAACCAAGAATTTAAGGGAGAAACTAAATTAATGCCAAAATAAACTAGGTTTAGTTTATTGTTAAGAGACGACAATTCTACAGTATTATATTAGTATAATGTGCAATAATGATAACTCAAATTAAAATCCTTCTTATGCTCCACAAAATGGGTTTACAATGTAGATAAAAGGATGAAATAAAATGATTATAAAAGAGAAAAATCTCAATATTTTACCAACGTATATAGGATGAAATTAAAACAGTTTAGATATATTGATGTCATGATAATTAGTACCTTCCAAATCAATAAGCTTATATCGAATTGTCCGCCTTTATATGAAGAAACAGGCGAAATCGCAGCACCAATGGCTATTCGATTGTTTGTTTGAATAAAACCAGAACATAATAGGTTGTAGCATCCTGTTGCCTGGTATGCATCCGACTGCAAAAACACAGAGATAAACTTAGCATTTTCATAAGTTGTAGAAAAGACCCAAAATTAAGTTTTCGACTAAAAGTTTTGGATATGAATGAAAGTAAATATACCGTCCAATAAGTGAAGAATCTTGGGTTAGTGTCTCCGTACAGCTCCGGGCTAACCTGTCCGACAGAATCAGAATGCTATGAATTTAGAGCATTTATCTAAGTAAATAGTAAGAAATAAATCATTTATTGAAAAATATATAAAATACAAAAAAGGTGATGGTTGACACGTGCCTGCCAACCGGCTTCGATGGTATTAAGATCGTCGGCGAAAGAACCGGCGATGACCCAAATCTGAGATAAACTAAACTCGTATTGGCTGCTGACACGTGGTGTCCACACGTTAATACTTGCTTTTGCTCCGTAATATTGACTTCCCGATACGTATCCAACCGCATGCTACAGTTTATGTATTACATGTATGTTAAAGATTATAATTTGTATATAATGCACTCTTTTTTCTTTTTCGATTCGAACAAAGAATACTAATCACTGACTGACAAGTTAAAATTATGTTTATGGTATTGCAAAGATTTGCGAGAAAGGTGATTTTTGGTATACTCTATTTATATGTATCTGTCTCTTTCTAGAGTTAAATTAAGAAAAAAGTATAGAAGCTCTGACTTTATGACAAAACTAATCTTATGTAATAATGTATGAAACGTACCTCGTGGCCGTTACTGCTCGAATCCCTTCTCACGCGCCTGATTTTCCGACCAAATCTACGGACGGAACTTGCTCTTAACATGTCCTGCTCCGTCGTTCTTCTGATCGGAATCGTACCTTCAGGGCAAGACTCACCATTTAAGCTCCAAAGCTGAAAATCTTCATGTGATTCATTTTCTTGGCTATACCCTTTGGGCATCTCCGGTGGATCCTAAACAAGTTTTTTTTTCAGAAAATTTAGATTTTGAAACTAGAAAACATATATGAGAAGAAGAAGAAGTGTGTGTACCATTGGTCTCTGTCCATGTAACAAGGGATGATCAAAAGCAGGCTGGTGATGAGACGGAACACAATCTATCGTATCTCCATCTGAGCTCTAAAACCACCACAAGAACATTAACTTTGTCAGAAGTCAAGACCATGACTATGGTGTAAATTTAGAAAAACACTCGTACAATAGAACAAAGAGTAAAATAAAATTCCATCAAATCTTGTTTGTAAATTCTTTATTGTTTGATTTTTTTTTTTCTTAAAAATCGCGTATGGTCTTTACAAACGTAAAAACGGTTCTGAAGTTATTTACATATACAGAAGAAAGAAACCGAGTTTGGATTTTGCCTGAATAGTCTTCACGGCGGGTTTATTGATCTTTTGGAGATGTTTTCTGATGAGTTTCAGCTTGTGAATCTCCTTTTGAGGACGGAGAGTCTCACTTTCGGATGTGGAATTTGGTGGAGAAGAAGAAAAAGAGAAGGAAGAAGAGAGGAGACAGAGTAAGAGAATGAAGCTGAGGATTAAGCAAGAAGACATTGCAATGGTTGAGGAATCTCCTCTGTTTCACCGTATTGACTTTTCTGAAGAGTATGAAAAACACTTTTTGTGTGTGGTGTTGTGTGGAATGAAGATGAAAGCAAAACATTTATTGCAAGCTTATTGTTGTTGTTCGTCTTCTTCATGTCACTGACACATCTTTCAACAAACCCATTAAAGACATAATGACTTCTCTAGTGAAATCACAGAGCCCCCAAAATCCGAGGAATTAATGAATCAACTCACTCCCCAAAATTAAATGAACTACTTTATACACATAAGGTGAGAGAGTTTTGGGGCATGTGTGTTTACACATAAGGTGATATAAATAGTGGGTAGTGGTGAAAACATGGAATGGTGTATTTGTAAACCAAATTATTAGGGTTTGGGATTTATTAAACGATTAAATGAAAAAGAAGTGAGGTTATTTTGATGAAGCTTTATCGTTATGTGAAAAAGGTGTTTAAATAGTAAGATGAAGATTAGCTAACTTGAATTTGGTTTGAAAGATGAAAATTGTGAACTTTAATTCTTGATTTTCTCAAAAGATCTATTTGCTTCTTTTTAATAGTATTATTATTTCCATAAGATATTCGTTTGCCACATATTTGTATACCCAGCTAATTTTAACATTATTTATTACAATTCAAGAAAACTAACTCTCCTTTGATCACATTTCGTCAAAATTAATTTTGGTACGTATGTGTTGTTCGATATCTCTTGAATTTACCAAAGGGTACATTGTCCTTTCTCCAATTATTTAATATTTAGGAGAAGATATATAACTCATATATAAATCTCAAGCAATTGGGCATAATGATTTGCAAAGCATGAAATTTCATGTGACTACGAACCCAAGGATGGATGCATGGAGTACTTTAAAGGCTCCAACATCTAAACTCCAAGAGCACGTTCGTTAAATAATATTTAATCTGATCAAAATTTCAATTTCTATACTCACATTAGCATTTTCACATTTAGGCCAGTGTGAGTATATTGAATAGCAAAAAGATAGACAGATGAGATTGCTTAGTATAGTAGTACCACTTGAGAATCACAGCTCGATATATCTATATTTGGGTCCGACTCAATATCGTCTATAGAAGCTGATTATTTCGTCCACTTAATATTGCCATGAGAAAGAAAAAAATATGTCTAAGGGGTTTTGATTACTGTGGACCATTTTTTACTATACGTACAGATTTTAGTCACCTTAATCAAAATAATGAAATTCAATATTCATCTTATATATAAAAAATTGGAAGAAGAATAGAGCAAGTACAAAATGTGGAACTCGAGAGTGTATTTGTTAGAATGATATTGTCCAGTCTTTAAAATCGAGGGAATGATTGAGAGGGCCAAAAGCATGCAAACATGTAATGTTGCCTTTGTGTTGCTATTAAATATTTTAATTTCATCATTAAGAAAAAACATGATGATTGGCTGCGTCAAATGTGAATGCAATGCAACACCTTCACTAATCTCACATTCATTTTCACATCTTTGATCTTTCCACATTAAAAACAAAAACAATAACTATTTCATGTACTCCTATATTAAATCCAGTTCAATTGCCTATAGTTTCTGAAGCTTGAATATAATGCATGCATCACTATAATAAAACGGTAAAAGTTAATTTAAATGCGTCAGTAGAATAGATTCAAAAGACCCTAGAATGAAGTGGTGCACATAGTGACTTAGACGCTATCTTAATATCTTACATTTTAGCAAACAAATAAAGAAGATTACAAAGCAAAGTTGACCAGACCATACGATTAAGTTTGACTTAATATCCGAAATTGAGGGAGTGGAAGTTCATCTGTTCATCAAATATGAAGAAGATCATATCACTCTCAAACCATAAATAGTTAGTAAGTATAACATGTAAATAATTAATTTGATAAGGAGAATGGGAAAAAAAGGCGAAGAGAAATAAAGATGAATATTAAAGCTATCAAAAGGAGAATGGGAACAGTTTGATGTAAGAGCAATGATAGTGTCTTTAAAGCAGCCTCGAGCTGAGCTTTTTCCCAATTTTAGCTCGATACATACCAGTTAATTGAGATTACTAAGGACTATTATGTAAACTATTCGAAACAAAGTACGATTCGGCGTTGGGGTTATTAACTGTGATATGATGAGTCATTATTTTACAAAAGCGGCGTGAAAGGATAGACGTTAATGCTCGGACCATGCATGAAAGCTTTGTTAAGGGGCACATCATCATGGATTTTCATTCTGAGCTGTCCATTGATATGCAACCATGAAAATATTATACTATATGGCTTGACAGCACAGATTTATATACACGTAATAATTTTGTTTTTTGAAAGAAAAAAAATCTGGGGAAAAAAATAATGTACATAGATTTAGTATAAATTTCTGAATCTTTTGGTTATTATAAAATCATAGGAGTACTAAGAAATTGTGAAGACATTACCTCGGATGCAAAGGATAACGGGCCTAGGAGCATTTTCAATGTATGATAGCATTTTTCATACCAAAATAAAATAATTGTTATATGCAATTGGATTTTTCTCATTGTATTTTTCATTTGAAAATGATTATTTTAAATATATTTTTTATTATTAATTACTAATTGTACATATATATATATTTCAAATTTTACAAAATAACTCATTCATTTAATTAATTCAAAAAATTAAATGTATTATGGTTTATGTCATTATATTTTCTACTAAATAAATATTATTTGTATTTTAATTTTAGAGATTATAATGTTTTCATATTTATAATCATTAATAAAATAAAAGAAATTGTTATCAAAATAATTATTTATCTCCTAAAACAATAATATTAAGAATTTGAAGGATTAACTTATAAATAAAAAAGTTTAATTGCAAAATAGAATTCAACATAAAATAAAATGATTCTATATTTGAAATAAAAAAAATAGCATTATATCATTATGCAATTGAAAATGAGATAGTATTGGAGTACATTTTATTCCAAAATGAAATTTGAAATAAAGTTGGAGATACTCTAAAATGCAAACAGTCTATCAAAACCACCACTCACAAGAATATAGAGCAAGGAGCTTAAAGCTCAGAAGTCAACAAGGACGTAGAGATAGTGTTCTATTGTGCCAATGGAGCTAGAGGAGGACACAACCCAGGTTAAGTTTCCTTATTTGGAATGGTCAAGAATGGACCATTCTACCACTTTCTCTCATCCATGCCTAAAAAGAGAAGTCCATCTTGTTGTAGTATAATTAGGTCTCAAATCCAAACATGAACACAGCAAGAAAGACTCTTTTGAGGAGACTTCAATACACCGAGAAGCCATTAAAAATGACAAAATGTTTCATTTACATTGTTAAGCCTGTTTTGCTCCCCTCAAAAAAAAAAAAAACCAATAAACTTGATAAAATATATACTATGGCTGTGGTTATATATCTTCTTGTCCTCCCCAGGTAAAATTTAGAGATTCATAAAAGAGAGAAAAGAGATCGATTCTAACTAATATAACAACATTACGAATATATAAAACATTTACGACTGAAACAGAAGTTAAAATGTTTGAATTAGAACCCGGTGTCCAAACAAATTTTACATCTACATGCACACATCATCTCCCTCTTCTCCTTTTTTTTTCTTCCTCTTTCATTTTATAAAATTAATCATATTGAAAAAGAAAAAAAAAACAAATAGATATAAACCCATAAAATCGAATAATATTCCCCCCGGAATCCCCCAATTCTCCATAATTAAAATCATTGTTTAACGAGGGTAGAAAGAGCCAAGCAATTATCAGCCATTTGGTACAAAACGCCTGCGGATTTGTAAACGACGTTATTAATCTCCTGACTTCCTTTCATGGCGTCGCTGCAAGTATCGTAGTCCGTTAACGCAGCGCTGAGGTTAATGTTGAGGCTAAAACCATCGTTCTCCTTAATGTTCTGAAGGGCCTTCTCCAAATTATCAAACGCGCTGTTGAAGTTGGACAAACAAGTCGCGACTCCTCCATCGCGTTTCAGCTCTTTCTTGGCGATATCTCTGGCTTGCCTCGTCCTCTTCATCAGCTCTCTGATGGCCACATCCGTCGCTGCGTTCACATTCGTTTGACCCTTAATGGTGCCTCTGCACAATACAGGAAAATCCGCCACCGTGCAGAGGTCGCCGAGAGAAAGATTCAACGCCGCCGCGGTTTGGCTTGAGGCGGCGAGGAGAAGGAGGAAGATTGTCCCGAAGACGGTCATATGGGGATTGATAGACATTGTGTGTGTTTATGTATACACGGAAACGTATATATATTGTGTTTATATATATATATATATATATATATATATATATACGTTCTTGTGTTTGTGAATGAACACCGGGTGCTGAATTAGTTTTATGAGAAAGAGGAAGGAGGCGAGTTTTATATGTGCGCATGCAAAAGAAATTGGTTATTTTTAGTAAGTTTTTGAAGAAATGTTTTTGAGTAAATTGCCACCGGTGAATTAGACCGAAACATATCTATTTTGGTGTGTTTTGTTAGTTAGGTTTGATGATGGTTATGGTTTAGTTGTTCTAATTTGGGGGGAAAAAATCGACATTTGTTTTGACATATGCGGAATATTTCTGTAAAACTGAGTTGAATTTCAGTTATATATACAAGTATTGAATCAGCATATAGAGCTAAGGAATTATTAAGAATGATCGAGTTTGTACAAGTGGTTATTGATAAGATAAGATGTGGATATTTCTCGATCAAACGACTAACAAAGAATGAACTAATAATGTAAGACAGTAGGGTTTTTGTTAAGTGAGATTTGTTGTGGTAGTTTTTGAGTGAATTTCAAATTCTATAAGCATGCGATTATTGTGTTTTTTTTAAGGATTAGTACTGTGATTATCAATACATGTGAGTGAGCAAATATGTAAAATATGAGTTTAAAATAGCATAATTCTTTATGGATTCGGTTTGTTTACAGAAGTAAACAAAAAAAAAAAAGCAACAACATTTTACCATCCCTGAAAGAGATATACATTTATAGATCACCATCCTAAAACGAAGCTTCTCTTAAAAATCAAGACAGATTGTGAAACTGTCTGGCGAAGAAGAGCCATCAAATGCTATTGGTTTACCTCACAGCGACCAAATTCCCCATGAAACCACCGCTAATCTCGTAATGCCGGGCACTAGAGAAGCCAGCTTCTAGAGCAAGAGTCTCCAGCTCTTCTCCTGCAAAAGAACAAGTCCACATTCCACTATCAGCTACTCAAAACGCACTATAGTATAAGCCATTCATAAAAGAAACAAAAAAGACAAAATGTAAAGATATATATATCAAGTTTTGAATCTCTAGTGCAGTAGAAGCTTTGGAATCTGAGAGGAAAACGGGTGAAATGTTGCAAATCCGATGAGACTATATCGATTTCATCAGCAGTGCCGTGTAATGAAAAGGAATATGCTAATGATGGAAAAACGAACCTGTAAGGTAACCATTGATTGAATATTTCAGATACTCATACTCTTTCGCAAGACCATAAACAGTAGCCACCGGGACAACTACATTATCAATCATCCAATCCTTGCAAAATCAAACACACCAACCCAATTACATTCCTCAAGAGCATAATCTCAAAACTATATAGTAGAAGAAAAAACAAGCACCTGCATAAACGCAGTAACGGATTGGTTGCTCTTATTGAAATCAAGTATGGATACTCTTGAACCTAAGAACCAACGCAGAGACATTTAAGAAAGTAAAATGACAAAAGCTTTTGTATAAAATGCAAATGTATATTCAGCTATACCTGGCTTCAGAACGCGATATATCTCCCTCATGCCTCTATCTCTATCAACAATGTTTCTAAGACCATAACCCATTGTTATAGCATCGAATTTACAGTCATCAAATGGCAAATCGGTTGCATCACCTTCAATCCACCTAGAAGTACATATTGATACGTATTAATGTGAGTCTGTTTCTCAAGAGATGCTATTAGGTCAAAACAACAAGCATGGATTTTACCAGTGCTCACTCTATACACTTGTAACAAGACCTCGCTCGAAGATTCTGTCTAGATGATGCTACAGCTAGTTGCTCACAGGAGAAATCCAGACCCATCACCTATATATATATTATAAAATTATAGTATCAAACAAGAATTTCAATAATCTAAAGTAATTAGCAGCCACATTTTCAAGAACACAAACCAGACTTGTGAGTTGAGCAACAGACCTTGCCTGTTGAACCAACTTTCTCAGACAATATAAAGGCTAAATCTCCACTTCCGCAGCACAAATCAAGGACGTGATCTCCTTTTTTCGCTCTAATTTCAAATAAACGACACAAAAATCAAAAAAAAAAGAGAGGAAGATTAAACATACGAAGAGATTGAATTTTCTAGTACTACTCACCCGCTCCAGGAAACAGCCATGTTCTTCCAAATCCGATGTTGTCCTAAGCTTAAGAGATCGTTCAGCTACAAAACCATAAGAGAAGACGAAGGCTGTTTATCGCTAGAGGAAAGGAGAAAAGAAAGAGAAGCAATGAAAATGTCCAAAGGATAAAACAAGGGAGTGAATCAAACGTTATCGTAAACGGGAGCAATGCGGTTGAAGAGAATCTGGCGGTCGTTCGAGTTCGAGCATTTGACAACCATTCTCCGTCGCGATCGGGAATTCACCGGGAGTTGGCCGGTGAAGGCCACCGTGGAGACGATTCCAAGCAAAGCCGCCATTTTTCGGCCGCTGGATAACGATCAAGTTGCTTTTGTTCCGATTACTCGGGATTGGAGAAAAATCTGGTTTCAGTTAGCTAATGGGCCAATTTCGGCCCAATAAAAAAATAAATTATTGGCCCAATAAAAAATAAATTTAAGACCCATTCCCCAATATTTAAACAAAGACCCTAGTTTTATATAACGCAAGAAGTTTTCGATCACTGATTATTGGTAACACATATCAGTAAAAGAAAAGTTAGCAGACAGAAAAAAAGTGGTAAGTGATTATGGAAAGTTAGAAGAAACAAGAAATAGTATAAGAGATAGTAGCACAGAAAAAAACGAGAATATTACTTTTGATACTGCTATAATAGTTATCGTTTCCTGTGTGATTGATATCTATTTGAACAGTATATTCTTTTTCGCTGCGGTGAGGAACAAGTTGCAAATCATGAAACTTTAAAATCACGAGAGGACAAACTTTAGAAGCGACTAAAGAAGTTAAACTATATTATAAACATAATTTTTTATTCACGGATAATAATAGTTACATAGCATTTGAATTTTGTCCCTTGTTCCTTCCTTCCTACATGTGATGTGAGAGTGAGTAACATTTCGATTCATGTGTCCAAAGCTTTCACTCTTTTACCATTTTTTTTTTTGTCTCTTGTCGGCAAAGCGAGAGCGAAGCTTTATAACGAAGGCAACATGTCAATACACCCCTCATCTTTGTTTTTTTTTTGTTGCAACGTTAAATTACGATAAAAATCTCAATCCTCGGTAAAGAATGATCCACTAGAATCATCCATCATCGCGAAAGGCATATTCTCTGACGGCTTCCAATGGCGTTTTCTTTGGTTTATAAACCAATTGTTGATCTGTTTCTGGTCTAGCCCCGTCGCGTCAGCTAAAGCTATCTTATCTCCTTCCTGTAACACATTCACATGATATCTCTCACTCGCTTAAATATATATATTGAAAAATGCATTTGTGCTTACAGTAGGGTAAGGCCACTTATAATGGAGATTCCACCAATCGAGAAGAGCTTGTCTTGCTTCTCTAGGTAGCTTTCCTTTCTTCTTCTTCTTTGAGAACTCCAGCTTCAAAGAGCTTATACGGCTTCCGAATTTGCGAAGCAGCCTGTCCTTGAGATCACGGTCCTCGCATCTTAGTTTCCCATCCTGTGCTACCTCATCACCTCCACTTAGTTCCTCGTCCGACGAAACTGCACCATCCTCTGTCCACAAAACGGACAGCCGATCAGTAACTTTTAGGGTTGTAAGATGAACTATAACATATGTCACATGCACGCAGAGAACTAGTCAGAGAATGGTTATGGGCCTTATAAGCAAGTTAGTAAGAGAATGGTTATGGAAACTAAAGGAAAATCATTCGCAACGCAAAAGTTAGAGGTGGCTTTTCGGCTTAAACGGCTAAATTGGCTAACGAAGCAAAGAGAGGGCAAATATGGAAAGATAAAAAGATATGAGGGAGAGGGAGAGAATATCGAGGACGCACACGATTGTTGTTTGAGTGCAGCAGTCAAAAAACCGCCGCAGTGAATAGTTACCTCCATTGTCACTTGTCAGTAGAGAGGACTAATAGTCTTGTCTCCATGAGGAGACATCCCCCTCTTGGCCTACTCCATTCAACCAGTTAACCTATGACACGTGGCGTTACCTCATAAAGGTTGTGTGATCCCCCGGAAATAACGCTTCACCTCACATTTATGTTTCCCCTCCACAACACCCCAAAACCCAAACTTCCTTTTCTCTCTCTCTCTCTCTTTAATAAATTGTCACATTTATATATGCCCCAACGACTCTACTGACCCACTTACCCCCCAGAGCTTACTGACATCAAACTCAACCCCAAAGATGATATATTCAAGAAACATTACCTGATTTCATAATAGTTTTCGACTGTGCGACAGAAGATAGAATCGGAGCTAGCAACCGGGGACAACGTAAATACATACACACAATGCTATAGAAAGTACATTTTTTATTTACAGGAGAAAGAAACTTTGACACATATCTTTCCCAAAGAAGACAAGGCAAACAATGCCACATCAAACAGGTAGTTTCAATTCAAATTCTTGAAACGATATTGTAGCAGAAACACTACAAGTCAACTACGGCGCAAAGATGTTTCAGAAAAGTCAAACAACTCTACAACACCTACGTAAATTTCATGAACAAATAGAGATGATAACAAATTCACTTATGAGTCGTTCGTTAGGGTAATAGTTAAATGGTGAAAATGATAGTTTGTGTGACCTTGGAATTATTATTATTACATTTTTAGCTATGCATTCAAAGAATAGGGTTGACCGAAGACGAAGGTAACATGCAAGTAAACGGACACGTGCAAGTAGCGTGCCGCAGAGAGACATAATACGACCCACCAAGGAAACAACGCAGCCAGAGGAAATGACAACCACTATGTGCAAAAGAGTTGAGAAAGTTAGAGAAGCATAGTCACAGTGTTATAGATGATTTGATTAGAACCCTATGTTTTCTACTTTTCATATTTTTTTTTTAATACCAGATCAAAAACAAAAAAAAACTTAGGAGAGAAAGGTGAGTGGGGTCAATGGTGGGAGATCACTAGCGGAATCCACGGGAGTCCATGTGATTTTCACACCTTTACTTTTAACAAAAACCAAAAGGACTCTCTCTCATTCAAGCTTATCATGCACTATGCTCTTATTTTCTCATTGCAATCTTCTAGTCTTGTAGATCATATATGCAAACATCTATAAGGTTGCATGCACCATAACTAATATAGAAATAATAATGTGTAGCTTGATTTTCAACTAGCTCAGAAAAAACACGAGACAGCCAGAACATACAGCCTAATTGTTGTCACTACCGAAGTTCATATACGCATAGTCAAGAGGAGGAACATCACAAATCTATATGATTAAGTTTGGTGGAACTAAAGAGGATTGCTTGTTTTACTAAAGCAGATTAACATAAAAGAAACCAAAGCATGTGACTGATCTAAGAAACTAGTAGATGACATCTCATGTTAATCTAATCTAACAATGTATTTTTTTTAATTAGTTTATGATTCATTCAGGTGCCAAAAACTCGGTTCTCCAAGCAGATAGAAAAAGATGGTTAAAGCTCGCAACTAATTAAAAACAAAACAAGATGAGATCATCCCAAAAGGCAACTTGTACTTTGAACAATTTTAAAAACAATTAATCATAAACATTCGCCCACCATTGACAACCTGCAGTGATCAATTTATTAACTTTTTCCAGTTGATTCTCTACGCAAACTCCGATTTATTAAATAAAAATACGCTAATTTGTTAAATATCAGCAGCTTTTTTCAACAATAAACAATATTACCAAAGTACAAGTGGAAGTTGCATATACCACGATAAGGGAAAAACCCTGCAAAGCTGAAAAAAGTCCACTGTTTTATGGAGTTCCATTTCTTTACAGCTACCTCTTTCAGGTGGAGTTTCTAAACTAATTTAAATATTTAAACCTTTAAAGATACTATCAGTATTTCCACTAACGTAATCAGTTGATTTGTTATGGCCCCAGAATTTATTTTAATTTCGTTTTGCTATACTTTGAACCATAGAAGAACATATTAGCAAACAGACAAAGCGATGCACTTCTCTTTAGCATTTCATTCGTATATAAACATAACCCTAAAACCCATAGAACTGAGCAACTTTGGTTTATTACTCACGGTCACATGTAATGTAATAAGTCCAACAAAACGCCAAACGCTTTGACAATTAACACACGACATGCAGATAAGACCAGACACTTGGCAATGACACTACTTCCCATGATCAACAAAAATCTCCATGGGGTTTTGTTTCTCAGATCATTGGAACTTGAACTAGACCAGAGTCAAGTTCTCGAGAGTTAATTATAAAATACTTCAGTGTATTCACTAATAAGCTAGATAGAATTGTAAAATGTTTCTACTTCTGACGACAAATTATCTGCGAATAAGCCTACATGTGTTTTGATTGATTATCGCTTTTGGCATATTGGTTGTAAATTTTTACCCATAAGTTTTAATCAAGAGAGAAAACACAGCTCTAATCATGTTCTTAAGGAGAGGTCAAGCAAAATAAGCATATTGAAAAATCAACTAAACTTATTGGTAAGAAAGTTATGACTAGGTTTTTCTGTCGATGGTTTTCACTGGAAAAAGAAACAAGTTGAAAAAAAAAATATTATAAATTCAGTACGCAACAAGACTCTGAGACGTCAAAATCAGAATCTCTACCGCAAAAGTTTATTGCTTTCAAGATCATTTTTCTTTCTGACAGAGAAAGAAGAGAAAAAAGAAGAAATAAAAGTATAAAGTAAAAAATGTATCATTTCCCCAAAGATGAACAAGAAAGAAAAGAATTATAGCGAGAAGAGTAGGAATAATCCCACCCCATGGCTATAACATTAAATTAAGAGTAAAATAATGGCACAAAACTGTTCCAATCTAATAAAACCTTAAAGCCATGACCTATGAAGCAAGATGAACAAGAACCCTACACACAAGAAAACACATGAAAGAAAGTGGCTACGGAGATGAAAGATGGAACATCTCCACCAAACCTAGGGTTTATCTTTCCTAGAAACCTAGGGTTCTTGAAATCATTATCTCAGAAACGTGGTCATATGAATCAAAACCTTAGGAAAGTTTCTTGTAAACGAATTTTAGTATCCTGGTTGGTGTTGTAAATTAGTTTAACGAGTATATAACAAAGACACAGATATCGAGGAAAAGCGTATAAATCACACAAAGATAAAGAACCAGGATTTATTTAAGACTTACCCGAAAGTCCTCTGGCAGACTCCACACCAGTGCATAGGTTCCGTAGCTGCAACTCGATTTTGTTCAAGAAAGTTGTAGCTTCATCAAACGGCCTCGCGAGATCCGATTTGTATTTCACCAATATATCACAGTATGTTTCCTGGAGAGTTTTTGTTTTTTAAGTAAAATAACAAAAACAAAATCCACAAACCGAGAAAGAGAGAGAGAGAGAGAGAGAGACCATGAATTCATCAAGCTCAGGATCAGCTCCGAAGCAAGACGACGGCACAACGTCTCGCTTAGAAACATCGCTCTCCCGTTGAATCTCCTCCAATAGGCACGCTATCTCCGGCGGCGCTCCGACCTGTATCAACACAGTTCACCAAAATCTCACATCGTTATTTTGAATTGTCGCTCGACAAAACAAATTAAAATTTATTGGTCCGTTTCTCCTTTGTCGTTTAACCATAAAATTATAAAACAAATCCACACCGATAAAAAATACAGTTTTCTAGAAGCTTATCCTTAGCCGTAAAAAGGTGAATTCAGCCATGGAAGAAGTAAAAAAAGCCTAAATTTCTGAGTATGAATTAGAGATGATGATCAAAGTTTGTAAAGAGTTTGAAAATCGTCTATATACACAAACACAAGTCGTTTCACTTATGCATAATCTCAAACACCTTGTAAGCACGCAAAAACGAGAAAAAAATGAAGGGAAGAGGCAAAAAGAGATACAGAACGCAAAATCGCATGAACAGTGAACCAATTCAAATGATGATTTTACTCTCGATCAAGTGTTTGATCCAAAAATCACCTTCTGGCAATCGATGTAAGCTTGGAGCAAGCGAGGATACGAAGGATGACAGGCGATTTTCGCCTTGATGACACCGAGAGAGACGTTGTCATCATTCCGTCGGATCTCCGGAGCGATCGACGCAGCCTCCGACGACAAAGCGGAGGCGGCTGCTGAGAGTAGCTCGTCGGATCCGAATACATCGGAGATGCGATGATCTCCGGCGGAGGAGCATAGCAAGGCTTGGTAATCGGAAGGAAACATGAGATTATCCGGCGACATCATCAGCACCGCCTTATCTGAGTAATCACCGGTCGAATGAAAACCGTACATTCCATCCATGATTAGGACCGCCGGCGGCGACCTCCGTCTTCTTCTGCGAGAGCGAGAATCGGTGACGAATAAACGGAAACTTAACAAACTTTACGGTTGTACAAATAGTATTTCTCTATGGGAGTGTTTTTTGGGTAAGGAGAGAGAGAGAGAGACTCTCGAGGAGTTTTGAGACAGTGATCATATTTTCTTTTGGCAAAATAAAAAGTAAAAAAAGTTTTATGGGAAAATAATGAAAAAGTGTAATTACGAAAAGGGACATATAAGCTATAAGGCTCAAAGCTTCAGGCTTCTTCATATTTTCAGATAAAGGCCTTATTAACTCATATCTCTTAATTATATTTTACACCAAAAGGCTAATTATGCCATAATTTGCATTTTAAGAGGCTTCATATGTAATAGAACAAAATAGATTTAGTATTCTGTATTCATATAGTCTAGTTGTTTGGATGGAATTCTTCTGATAATATCATTATGTGAATGGAACTAGTCTCATTCTTTTATAATAGCATTTTTTTTTACCTTATCTTTGAGGTTAGTTTGCTCTAAATAGATTTTTATTCGACTACATAAGGTACAAATACTAAAAAGTTATATTTTGGTTTGTTTTTAAAAGCATTAGAATTTATTTACTATTGTAATTCTTATTTGAATAACTAATTATTAAGATTCTACTAGTCTCAATGAAGCCATATATGATAGAGAGAAAGTTAAAGATTCCGAATTGAGAGCAAGAAAACCAAAACCAAAAATCAAAATACTCTACCTAGTTATGAAAAGTTTATAAATATTCACGTCTTTAGTGGGTTTATCGTCGTATCCTAATATGTTTTTGCTGGATTCAGGAGTACTATCAATTTAAATGTTCATCAACACTTAAGTAATCTAAAAAATTTGACTGATGAATTTGAAATATTGATGAGAGCGGTTGATACATTATGGATATGAATAGTGATACTTTTGGTGGAGAGGATAGAGATGAACGTAGATTGCACCACCTCCGATGTTGAACATTTCGATTAATTGTACGGAATAAAACGGGTTTCGAGAAGCGAAGGTCCGCTCCTAGTTAGGACCCTATGGGGAAAATGTTCTTCTTTTTGTTGTAATTAGCATAAATTAGTATCTACGACTACTTACTTTAGAATAGTTAATTTCTGTGAAAAGCAAATTTGTGGATAAAACCAAGAAATAAAAAATAAACGAAGGTCTAATGCCTAGGAGTTGCAAAACGCAGATTTAAATATTTATTCAGTGATGTTGTGATATATTTGGTCAAAATCTTATACTGTATAAGATTCCTCACTAGATACCTTGTATTTTCTTAATACTTATATCGTCGATCATACTGATATATGCCAAAATTGATTAGTTATCATGAAAATGAACCTATCAACATAAGAAAATTGATTAGTTCAAAATTGGTCGCAAGTTATAGATATATATATAGTATCATGAAAAATACAAGTCACTTTAACAATAGGAGAGGAAAAAAAAACGACGAACATCTATAATAACATTTCGAATGGAACCATTCTTTTAGTTATGTCGACAGCTTTTTACGTCCATCGTATGATTTTTTAATTAGGAAAGTGGCTTGTTCTAACACATACTACTTTTAATATGAACTTTAATTTGTTTCTGTGTTTTTTTTCTTTTCCTTCTTCTCTTTTAAAGACTAGAGAAAGCCATTTTCAATTTAAAGGTAGTTGTGAACTATTGGTTGCTTTAAATCATCCATTAATTATCAACTAATTTAGCAGCCTCGTTTTTTTTCTTATATTTGGGTACAATAATTGACATTTACTAGTATTAGCTTGGTGAAACAAAATACTAATGTTCCTCTCAAAATTTTGACTTTTCAATGTTTTCATATAATTTATATTCATGTTTCCGATGGTAATTTGAAAAACAACGTCACAAAAACTAGAAAGGTGAAGCCGATATACCGACAAATGCATAGTAGAAAGTTGCAAAAATTTACAACTCGGTTAACCAAACTAGCTAGTATACTGTTATTGAAACTATATATTGCATAGATCATACATCTTTGTCCCATTATAATTCGAGTCAAATCTAAATTATAAAGATGACACCCTTGTTCCTTATAAATCATAATCCTATATAAATCTAAATTGTAAAGATCCAAGCGATGCGCCACTTGGATGCTGCATGTTGAATAAAGAGCTATGGGAACTACATGCAATGCTTTCCAAGACTTCTTATAATTGGTTATTCGGCTAGCTAGGTTTTTTCTATGAATTTCCTATCATCACACTACATATATAGGCTTTGTGATTTGATAGATTCCTTTCAATTTCTGTACCTATCTCCCTACCTATCCATATATAATTGCAATAATTTATCACCAAATAATGCAATATATAAATGCCTACGGCCTATAGGGCTACACATGCATCTTGAGTGCTCAACTTATAATTTGGTTCGTGGTCCATACGAGTTATAATTTTGACCTAGGCTCAACTATAAATTATTGAGGAAATTTATACTAAGCGTCTCAGCCAATTCAAAATCTTACCAAAATAGTTATCTGTAGAACAGTTAAGCAAATGTTATTTGTCTTGCATGGAAAACGCTACTGTTAACATAATAACATTACATATACTAATATTAACGATATTATTACCAACTTACCCGTTCGTGCTTCCACATAATGTTTTTTTTTATAAAAAACTTCCACATAATGTCGAAGTCAAAATAATAGTAATGTTTTCAAATTTTTGTATTTCACCCATATTTAATGTTTTAGATGGTTCTTATGTTTGAATTAGTGAACGAGTAACATTAAAATCATGCTTTTAAATCTTGTTTCAATAATGCAAATCATCTTTTATAAACTAAACGGAAAATACGTAACAGGATTTAAAAAATCCTACCCTGCGTGTTTCTTTATTTTCTCCAAAAAATATAAGATGTGATAAAGGGTCTTTTCGTTGATGGACAGGTTGATTGACCCATCCATTTTCGGGCCAGGTTTGTTCGAAAATTATCTGACACAAAGCTACGGTTTCGTATGAATCCATATAAAAAACAAACATAGCTTTGGTCCCTCCATCCCACTCCCTTGGATCTCGACCGTTGATTCACATCCAAATATGTTGATTTTTTTCCCACACATTTACATATCTTAGGATTACTATATAGTTTTTATGCATACATCAACTTGAACAACTTATTACCCTTGAATATTTGAATTGATAGTTATATACTTATACGGTTATATTTACCTGGTCCTCATATTAGCATATTGTTTATAGGCTTATAGCGAGTATTCAAAGGTCTTACATCGAATATCGGGGGTATTGTATTAGTTAGTATTTTAAGATGTTAATTTTGGAATTTAAATATTTAAGTGATTATTGTTTTTCAGATATTAAAAGTGTTGAATATTTCGGTTATCTTTAGACCGTAAACAGTAGCACGGATGACATTGTATATCTTGAGATCAGAAATTGTACACGAGTAGGTTTTTATTTACTAATGATGACATATCAGTGCTCGATGAATCATTTAAATATACTGGATATTTTGATTTTATAATATAATGCAGAACAAATCATTTGATATTATTCGATTTCGAGCAATGCATGTAAAATAAATGATTGATATGATTCGAGCAATGGGTGTATATGTTTATTCATAGCTAATAGGAATCTTATGAAACTTTGTTGTTAAAGAGTGAATCAATGTTTATATCGATGTTATTATAAAGTAAATTATTAATTTTATTACATAGAGATATTTGAGGGTTTATTTTGAATTCGTGACTACCACTTCAACTTGATTGAGAATGACAGACTAATAATTGATCTCATTTATGTAAGAAAAAAAATTCAACAAAAGTAAAATGTGAAAAGTAAAATGTGAACGTTCTTAAGGGTGGACAAAATATCTGTTATATCCGCTTCGATTCGATTCGAAAAACCAATATTTGCTTCGATCCGATTCGAAAAATCCGGATATCCGTAAAGCTTCGGAGCAAAGCAAATAGCAAAATATAATATCCGTACAAAACGGAGCAAATCACAAATATATTTTTAGATAACGCCGGATATCTGATCTGATCCGTATCTTTATAAATTTATTATATATTATCATGTATTTATCAATTATATTATAATTTTTTATTAATATATTCTCAATTTTCTTCCTAAATTTTCAATTGTTCTTTTGATTATATAAAATAAATGACTAAATAACTAATTATAAAAAATAAATAATATGCTTAAATTTAAAATATGTTAATAAATAACATTTTATTTTATATTAGTAAATAAATATCAACAAAAGTTTTTTAGTAAAGTTTAATATTAAAATTTCAAATAGCTAATATTGTTTTTAAATATAAAATATCATTTTTTCCTCATCTTAATTTTGTAGGTTTATTTTTTATAGATTTTTTTATAAAATAAAATATTTTCTTTTAGTTATTTTCACTTAATAGTTTAAATTGATGTACTTTCAGTTTTATGTATATTAAATGGATCAAACTAAATATTCATAAATATCCGTAAATATCCGCAAATATCCGTAAATATTTGTAAATTTTTCGGATATCCGAAAATCCGGATATCCGTATATTTCCGGAGCAAATCAAATCATAAAATTAAATATCTGTTAAAAACGGAGCAAACCACAAATACTAAAAAATTTCCGGATATCCGATCCGCGCCCACCCATAAACGTTCTGCTATAATAGGAAGGGGACAAACCAACCCAGAATAGATATGTTTGTGGACTACGATAAACTCAAAACTTCTGGATAAGAAATCTGATTAGAGCACCTGATACATATTTCGGTCTTTGTTGTTCCTAACCAAGACTTATATATGTACTATCACCTCTTGATGGACGTCAGCCAAATTTTGTTTTCCAAACTAATTTTGCAATTACTCCTATAATATAAAATATCAACTTTAACTAATCCAAACGTGACAAGAAAAAAAAAACAATCTATATACAGTAACTTGGACAGAGATTGACAAACAATCTGTATATATTTTTCGTTGTGATTTGATTTGCTGGAAAATATAATTAGATATATAATGAATCATGAATGAGTAATGAGATATTTTTTATAAAAAATTATTAATGGGAGAATAAATCTAGTGAAAGGCAGCTGATTATATAGAACAAAAACAAAATTTACAAATTTAATGAAAATTCTTC